AAATAAATAGCAAAAGATAATAAATATATATATATATATGTTAGATCCTTTTGCGCCATAATAAATGCTTTACATTATCATAATTAAGTCTAATTAGGTTGGTCAATGTCTAACCTAAAAATAAATAAGGGTTGTCGCATCAACCAATAAGATCTATGATTTTTCTAATTTCTTATCTAACAAATGTGAGAGATTAGGTATTTTTTTGATTTATTGGAAGCCAAGAAAAATTTAGAGTAGGGTTTTAGATCTAATATTTAAGTATCAAATTTAGTAATTTTAAATTGCTTTCTATCTAAATCTATTACTTTTTTCATTATTTGTAATAATTCTTTACTTGGAGGTTAACATGTTTACATTCCTAATCTTTTTGTCCCTATTATTTAAAATAAATAAAATTAATGGAATATTTGGATTAATGGCAAGTGGTAATTTATTAAACTTAGCTTTTTATAAGTTCATGATAAGGTTGGTTCATGTCTCATGGAAAAATAAACTTTACCCTTACCTTATATATTTAAGGGGTGTTTGATTCATGAAAATATAAGATTTTCTCCCAAAATCTTGTTTTTCAAAATGTGATTCTCATGTTTGGTTCACGGATATCTAATTCCTAAGGTAATCTAAGATTCTCAACAATACCAAATGTTTGAAATAAGAAACTCATTTCTTCCTATAATTTTTTAAGATTATAGGAGGAAAATTAATTTTATCCCACATTTAACCTCAATAATAAATTTTTTGATTTATTTTACCATTGAAAATCAACATAATAGGAAAATTGGCATTCATAGCCACACGATCTGATAAGGGCATAATCCTAACAACAAAATTGAACATTTAGCACTGAAAATGATCGATAGAATATTACATATAATAAAAATAATGTTTTTAATGAAACAAACATAGTAGATAACGTCAATTTTTTGTTTTTGAATTTTTTTATTTTAGAAAATACTACATTTTTTTATATATGAAACGTAGTAGATCAATTAAAATACTAACAAATAAAGTAGATATTTTCATATCAACAACGTTTCTTATATTAAAAACACTGTAATGGATGTGATATTATATAATAATATTTCTAATACTTTTAACTATGTTTTTCATATCAAAAATGTAGTTTTTAATAACATAGACCATATTTTTTTACATAAAAAATGTAATTTTTGAAGAAAATAAAGATCATGTTTCTGACATAAGAAACATAATCTTTGTTAAATAATACTAATAGGATAAAATTAAAACTAAATTATCGTTACTAGAAGTAGATTAAATCTCTTTTCTGAAAATAATAAAAATAAAAATTTAATAAAAGACTAATGTTGTTTTAACACATGTCAGTATTGGCTAAGATTTTCTTACCTTTCCAAAATGCATATTAATAGAGGTCCCCCAGTTGTTTACAAACCATAGTCCACAATCACCATTCTAAGGCCCGCATCAAATCAAAACCCTCCACTTTATACTGCAAACTAAACACAATAATCTAACATTCTAATGCCATGAAGAATTACCTTTTGCCATGAATCCACATTTTCCTGAAGATCACTTTCCTTCTCAGAATTAAGATTCTATAAATCAAAAACCCCCTTAATTTATTTGGTCCAATATGATGAAGTCAGTCCATGTCTTACCTCAAAGTAAACCTTTAACTAAAAAACAAAAAAAAAGTAACCCATTTAATTTGTGATGCATGGAAGAAGCCTTCTGAAAATACCTATTGGAAGTCTTATTATTTCTTAATCTTAGCAATTACTTGGACCAAAATCATATCCAAGATTTTCTAACCATTATTAGATAAAAGTCCGGATCATTTATGTCAAATGAGTTTTGAGAGTCTTTTCAGTTTAGTAAATGTTGATCAAGCACTAGAGATGCATGGTTTTTAATAAGGATTCCATCAAAAGTGGTTCTGCATAATAAGATTAAACTTAATGTTAGGAGAAAAGAGTTTTGAACATGGTAATGAGAATCTAATCTCATGAATATGTTTGTCTATATATTAATCTTTTCATATAATAATTTTAAATCAATATATTTTTTTATGAACAAACTCCACAATTATTATTTATAATCAAGTAATATGCTAATATCAAGACAACAAACATCAATAGTGTTACATTTGAATATTTAGCTTAGTGCTTAGTATATGATCTCTTATTCAAACAACTAAAATTCGAATATCTTCTTTCTCAAATAAAATGAAAAAAAAATCAACATTGTTATTGAATTATTGATTATTTTGTTTGGAATATAATTAAGAAAATAATAGTAGCTAACAATCATAACAGATGGTTTTCAATTAGGTTAAATACATATTTAGCCTTTAAACTTTGTAATTTTGGTCACATTGGTACCTAAAGAATTTTTTTGTCTTATTGGCATCTGAACTTTCATATCGTTATTATGTTAATATTTTTTACTAACGCCATTAGTCAACTTTACTGATATAGTATGAATATCCAATAAGATGCTAACACATGTTAAAAAGTCAAGTCAACACCACATCATCATTGTCATGTCATACCCACATCATCTTTAAAAGAAACAATTTTAAAAAATTTTTAAAAATTTAAAATTTTTTTTAAAATTATAAAAATTTTAAAAAATCTAAAAGATTAAAAAATTTTAAAGAAATTCTAAAAAATGCTTTAAAATTTTGAAAATTTCTAAAATACTTTTTTAACAAAATTTTGAAAATTCAAAAAAAATTTAAAAATTCTAACAAAATTCTAAAATTTTTTAAAAATTCTAAAAATATTATGGATTTTTTTTAAAAAATTTGAACTTTTTTTTAAATTATAAAAATTATAACATTTTTTGAAAATTCTAAAAATTCTAAAATAATTTTGAAAAGTAAAAATAAGTTAAAATTTTTAAAATTTTGAAAAAAATTTAAAGATTCGAAAATTTTTATAATTGAAAATATAAAAAAATTTTAAAAACTTAAAAATTCTGAAAAATTTTAAAAATTCTAAAAACTTTTGAAAATTAAAAAGAATCTAAAACTCTAAAAATTTTAGAAAATTTAAAAAAATTCAAAAAAAATTAAGGAAACTTAAAAACTTTCAAAAAAAAATCCAAAATTTTGAAAAATATCAAAAAAATTTAAAAGAATTTTTTTATTTTTAAGTTTTAATTTTATATTTTTTTAAAATTTTAAGGAATGTTTCAAATTTTGAAATTATTTAATTTTTCAAAAAATTTTAAAAGTTTTTATATTTTTTTATTTTCATTTTTTTTTGTTTTTGTATTTTTTAAACTATAAGAAAATTAATTCTTATAAAATTTAACTTTTTTATTTTTTAAAAAAAATTTTCAAAAATTGAAAAAAATTTCCAAATTATGATAATTTATAGAAATATTTTATTTTTTATTTTTTTATAATTTTAAAATTCTTCTAAAATTTTAAAATTATTTAAAAATTACTTATGATTTTTTAAAAAAATTAAGAATTTTTAATAATTGTTTAGAATTGTTTAGAAAATTTTAAAGTCTTTTCAGAAATCTTTTAAAAATTTGCTTACTAAAACTTTTTTTAATTCTTTTAAAAAATTATTTAATATTTTTTATAATGTTTTAAATTAAAATATTAATTTTAAATGTTTTCAGAAAATTTTAAAATTTTTTCAGAATTATTAAAATTTTTTTTAGAATTATCTTGAATTTTCTTAAGTTTTTAATTTTTTTTAATGTTTCTAATTTTTTTTTTGAAAATTTTTAACATTTTTTGAGAATTTTTTAAATTTTTTAATATTTTTTGAAGTTCTAAAAAATTCTTTAAAACTTTTATTATTTTTTTGAACTGTTTAAAATTTTTAGAATTTTTTAAAATTTTTAGAATTTTTTAAAATTTTTAGAATCTTAACAAAATTTTAGATTTTTTTAAATTTTAATATTTTTGGTAATTTTTTTGAAGTTTTTAAAAATTGTTCGAATTTATTTGAATCTTTTAGAAGTTTTTTTTGAATATGATGTAAGCATGATATGAGATTAATGAGGTGGCGTTGTTTAAACCTTTTGATGCACGTATTGATAGATATTTATGCTACATCAACAAAGTTCACTTATAGCTTTAGTAAATGTATTAATGTGATAATGATTTTAAAGTTTAAGTATCAATATGATAAAAATAAATTTTAAGTATCAATATAATAAAAATTACAAAATTCAGGAACTAAATATGTATTTAACTTTTTTTTATCCTATCCTCTAAAATAATGCAATAGAGGATCAATTTTCTTTCTTTCTTTCTTTATTTTTTCAAATTGCATCTAATTATCCTTTTACAAATTATAATGAAGTTAATAAAATAAATTTAACAACATAAAGTAAATAGTTAGAAAAGAGTCAAACCTATATCAAGCAAGTATCAAAATGTTTAATTTAAATTGTTCAACAACTTCTCGATATAGATTGCTTAGTTGGCGAATCAAGTCATCTAATGGACAGCTTCTTGTTTATTTATGTTGAGAAAAGTCGAAAGCAATTGGCTTCGCCCGTTTCAAAGTAAACTCTATTCCATCTATATATATATATATATATATATATATATGTATGTATGTATGTATGTATATGTATATAAACATATATGTGATGAAAGCAACTATAAATATTTAATAAATTTAAAATTTTAAAGATCAAATGGCAAACCTTAGAAAGAGAGTATATAAAGTGAAGAAAAAAAGGTCGATGCTAGCGAGTGTTCAGTTTAAACTTTATTTCCCCTTGCATTTTTCACTTTCATATCTGCCAAATAAATTTAAGATTGCTGCTACACGTCATTTTTTTTATTATTCATTAATTTTCCAATATTAAATTCTCATGTTTTCAATCATAAAATTATAGAACTCTGAGTATATTAAATGCAGTTATTTCCTTGTGTATCCCTAATGAATCTTTAATTATTGTTTTTATTTAAATATTTTTAATAATTAAGATTATCCGAGATTAAATCTCGGACAATTATTGAATTGAACAATGATAGTGCCCGTAAAAATATCTTGCATTTTATATATTTTAACAATAGATTATTTTTCACCAAAGATGACATTATTGTTATCGTTCAAATGTATCACATTGAACATAAACATATATAAAAACAAAACATCATTAGAAGAAGCTTCCAAATTTAATATCAAAGTAGGCAAAATTTCAACATTACATGCAAATAACAAAAGCATCTAATCAACTAAATAGTGATGAGCCTTTGGATACTTGATTCCATCAGTCATCACTCCATATCTACAAGAATTTCTCTATGCTTGAGGATAGAGTAGTTTTGGGTACAGCACCAATAACTGCATCTTTCTTCTCGCCATTGACAAAGATCATGATTGTTGGGATGCTTCGGATTCCATAGTGGGTAGCAACTGTGGGACCATCATCAGTATTCAGTTTGAAGCACTTGAGCTTTCCAGCATATTGCTGTCCTAGTTCAGCTATTACTGGATGGATCATACGGCATGGCCCACACCATGGAGCCCAGAACTCAACTAATACAGGCCCATTAGCCTTGAGAACAAGTGATTGCCATGTTTTATCAGTCACCACTGGAACTGCCAATGTAACAATACAAGGGACAAGTGAATTAAACTGTTGTATACAGAAACTAAAACAGCATTGGTTCTATACAGATTAACCTGCATTTTCTTCTTCTAACAACATAGAAATCTCATTTTTCAAGCTCAATTGAAAGTAGGCTACCAAACTAAAAATATTACGTGGTTTCCATAAAACCACTGCTTATTTTCTCTGAATGTTCAGCTCCAGATTACAAGTCCCAATAAAATCACAAAACATTTCAATGAGTTTCCAAAGATGAATGCTTATTGCTTACATACAGTTAACCGGATTACAAGTTACATTTATAAAGATATTTTATATGAACTTTCAGCAATAATACATATTAGTTTTTAGTTTGGCAGAGAATTAAATCCCTCTTCACGCAGATGAAGGTTTATACAGTGAGAAATATGTTATGATCTCGTCATTTTGCAGCTTGCACCAATCTCGTTGTTCCCTAATCTTTAAGAGCCTTAACTCCAACTATTTGCAGGGGAATGCCAACAAACATGACACCATTTTCACCCAAGTCGGTAGAACTTGACCATAAACTTTCAATTTCAAGTCCCCAAAAGATCATTTTCAGCTTTCAATTTCAAGCCAAATGGCAACTATAACTTAATAACTCACATCAAGCCCCTTCTCCTTGCCTTACTACCCTTCCTACACAAAAATAACCAAATCTAGGTAATGCTCCTATCTTCTATTGAAATAAAACCAAAAATAAATTTCTGTGAATGTCAATATAACAACTAACAAGACCTCTCTTTTTATTTCCATCTCACATCAATCCACTTCAAATAAACAAAAAAAAAAAATTATATTTCCCCTGAATTCTTGCACATTAGAACTCCTTTAATCTTAATTTCAGAAACCGCAATAGAATCAGTTATACTTTCAAGTAAAATTAGATAAGTTTCCACTAACAGTGGGAGAGCAGAGCTTACCCGTAAGAGCAGTTTCTCGAGCTTCGCAAACAACGCCTCCTTTGTGCTTCGAAACCCTACGATATCTCCAATTCCACGACGCCTTCGAGTAAGATTGGATCTTCAACCCCATAAATCCCGGAAAGCCACCGCGACTAGATAAAGAAACCGATGAAATCATCATTTCCGGCTGTGATACTGAGGTTCTAAAGCGTGAAGAAGCAGGGGAAGAGAGGGCGGCCATGGACTCTGTTAACGACGCCATTGAAGAGAGAGAGAATATTTTTATTTAGTGGTATTGTTTTTTTCTTTTTCGTTTTGCTGCTATACTATTCTGTATTCACCAAAACAAACTTGTTTAAGCAGCATAAATTCTGTTCTCCCAATTGAAACAAGAAATAAATGCGTTTGGTTTATGCTATTATTATTTATTTTTTAATAAAAATAAAAAATTAGAAAACGAATTAAAAACAAAAGAAAATTAACAAAAATACCTATCAAATTAGATATTACGCACCTATCATGCGGGTGAATAAAAAAAGTGAATTTAAAAAATAAATTATTTTACAATTTCATACGTGTAGATAAATTTTTTTAAAAAGTAAAAAAAATATTTAATTACATTCTATTATTATAACCTCAATTTAATTTTTAAATAATTTATTAATTAAGTTGATATTCCATAATTTTAATAATAGTATAAATGAAAGTAAAAATAGTGGATCAACAATTCACAAACTTCTCCATCTAATATAATTTAAGATTAATATCATAAATGATTCTTAAATTATAATAAAATATTTAATATATTATTTAAATTTAAAAAATTTTTAATATAGTATTTAAATTATGAATCTATTAACTAAATTAATACTCACATATAATCTCATTAACTTCAAATGATAATACAAATAAACAATCTTTTAAATATTATATTAATTATCATATTTATAATTTAGATATCATATTAAATATTTTTAAAGTTTAGATATCATATTGATCATTTTACTATAGTTTATGAACTATTCATGATATTAATATTTCACTTTACATATACATGGCAATTCATGTATTTGTGTAGATTAATAATTCGTTTATTTATATTATATTTTACATGAAGATTGTATGTCACAATTTGTATTGACATAAAAATATAAAATATATATTTTTTAATTTTATTAAATTTATATATAATTTTTACTAAAATTTTAAACTTTATCACTTTTGTAACTCTTTTCGTATTATTTTCAAATTACGTCATTTTGTCTGGCTTTTCCTTTTATTAATTAGTTTTTAGTGTATTAAGGATTTTATTTTAATTGTTTTAGCATAAAAAAATTAAAATTCTAATTTACAACCAATTAGATTTTCAAGTATTTTACTTTTTTATGATTTATAAGTATAAATTATAATCATAAGTAAATTCAATATAAAATTAAATCTAATTTATATATAATAAAATTTAAACTTGAAATTTCCGAGTGATAAGATATGTTCTTTGCCTCCTAGTCAAATCACTTCAAGTATTTTATTTGATAAAAGAAATACTTGAGAGGATTGAATTTTAGTATACCTCCTACAATTTCTTCGAGCCTCAACTTACTATTTGATTAGTAAGTCAATGTACCGAAATTTGTTTGCCAAAAAAAAAAAAAAGTTACTGAAAATTTAATTCCATTTAGGTTAATAAGCACAAATAGACTAATCATGATTTCTCATGGTTTATCGATTTGCCAATTATATGCTTCCTTTAGTTTATGCGGTGCCCCTTTCTTCATTGTTGTTATCATCATTTCTTTCTGTTATCGCTTTTTCTCAGCAAGTCTTCTTATCCATGATCACTGTGTCATTTAATAGTTTGATTTTCATGTTTTTGGTCTATTGCGGTAAAAATCAGGGAGATTTTAAAATTCAGGAATACAAGAAGCTCAGATCAAATTATGAGGCTTGGGGTGACTTGGACAAAAAGTTCCAGTTATTTCTGCTCGACATATTGCATGCCGGTTGCTTGGAAGTTATTTGGAGATTTTCAGAGCTATCATTGATATGCTTCAGAGAAGAGCTATCATTTAGAAGTAATTTCGTCATCTTTTCATAATTTGATAATGAATTTTATCAATTTTAAGTGTTGGCTTCCTAAGGAAGATTGTATGCGTTAATAAATTCAAGCCTTGCTCGCTTTGGCATGGCATCAAGTTTTGGTTGTATATGTATCCGAAGGTTTTGATTTTCTTTTACCTTATTGATATATTGATGGTATTGATCCATAGTGCATATGTCACGGACCTAAAGAGGAGTCCTGAATCTTATATCAAACATAATAGGAAGATCACTGGGATATAAAAGGATTCACACCACCTCTATCTTGTGAGGTACCTTTTGTAAGACAAAACAGTGAAGTTAAGGGGGTCAGAAAAGACAATACTTTACAAGAGTGTGAATCGTGGCGGTTAGGCTGATCTGGGATGCCGGATGAGTGGATGCCCGGGTCTCGAAGCCACGTAGGTTCGAAGCTTAAGTCTTGACCCATGATAAATAGTATCAGAGCCAGTTATAAACCGTTCGATCTACGCCAAGTACCTCGAGAGAGGTAGGCAGGGTGGCCAGCCTCCGTGACGAGGGTATCACGAGGTTGAGTGCGAGAAAATGTCACAGACCTAAGGAGGGTCACTGGGATATAAAAATGTTCATATCACCTCTGCCTTATGAGGCGCCTTTTGTAAGACAAAATCATGAGGTCAAGGGGGTCAAAGCGGACAATACCTCACAAAGGTATGAACTATGACGGTTAGACTGATCTAAGATACTAGATGAGTGGATGCCTGAATCTCGAAGTTGCATGAATTCGAAACTTAAGTCTCGACTCGTGACACATGCATCAAATGTATCTTTTAATACTAATTACATGTATATTATTAATTTTTAAAAGTTTGACCTACTATTCCCAAGAAAGTATTTCTTTCTTTAGCCCGTAGAAAACTAGGGAAAAAATGTTTTGACTTCTATGTCTTGTTTCAATTTATTAATTAAAGGTGGAATGCAAATGTGCATCAGTATCTTTTTCCTAATATTTTTGGTACAAAGAGGAACAGATAACCGTTAGCGTACTTTTATTATAACATCAATAATCAACATGCAACTGACTGAGATTGTTTCGTTTCCAAATGCCATAACTACTGTCCCAACTTTATTGCAACTTTTTCCTCTCCTCCTCTTTCTTTTTTTTTTTTTTTTTCTTTGTTTGGCAAAACCAACAAAAAAGAAAAAAAGGCCCAAAGGGGAGAAAGAAAAGAAGAGAGGGAGAGTTGCCTTGGTGAGGAGATCATATTATAGGTCTCCAAAAACAAAGAAGAAAGAAATGGGTTTAAATCAAAGCTTTATGCATCTTATAGTATTCTTTTTCCTCGTAGCTGGATTTGCCTCTTCTTCCACCCACATTTCAAGTAATTCTCTTATTTCTTTTTTCTTCATTATCCATTGTCACACATATATGATAGGTTTGAATTCTTAAGCACATTAAAAATGTTTCACAAAAAAAGTTATACATGATATTATGATTTAAACATGACATTTAGTAATTGTTTAATTTGCATGCAGATGGAGCCTTTGAATCTCATGGAACTGCTGGACGTAGTCTCCTTCAAGCTAAAAAGGGTATGTTCGGTTTTTCAAGGAAAAGAACAGAAAATCTGCCTATCTGGAATTGTTTTTATTTTCTATATTCATCAAAGAGGAGAAATTCACATATAGTAGCGTAAATCTCACAGTTTTTCCAATATTTGGGGTGTCCATGCACACCCCCACTTCAAAAGGTGGATCCACATTTTCTTCTAGCTTTCATCAATACACAGAACATATAGGAAGGATGAAAACCATGAAGTAACTTTGTCATTTCTTTCATAATTAACTATGCATTATTTCAAATGAGAGATATGTGATATACATTATTCAAACTCATTGTCTCAAGTAAACTAATTTCAGAAATAAAATTTTCAAGTCTTCAATTCGAACATATCCTAGAAAAAACTAGTACCATATAGTCTTCATTGCTCTACCTCGCTCTGCAGATATATACAGATTATATGGAGCATGCTTCCAAATTCTCTTTAAGCATTGTAAAATAAACCGATATGATATCTCAAATGTCATGAACCTACAGCTTGCAGTGAAGACTTCGAGCACAAGAACTACACAATCCTCACAAGCAAGTGCAAAGGACCCCTGTACCCAGCCAAAGGTTGTTGTGATGCTCTCAAGGAATTTGCTTGCCCTTTCGCGGATAAACTAAATGACCTTACCACTGATTGTGCTTCAACCATGTTCAGCTACATAAACTTGTACGGAAAATATCCGCCTGGCCTGTTCGCCAATATGTGCCGTGAGGGGAAAGAAGGTCTTGAATGTCCTGAATCAACCCCTAGCGGTATGGCGGTCATTAAGCCTACATTGCCAGTGCTCAAGTCTGGATTCCTAGTGTTGTTATTTCACTTGTTCTAAAGGATAAAAATGTGGAGGATTGACCATTCTGCGGCCCTTTATTCATTGTTAATCCATTTTCTTCTTGTCTGAGTATATGATTCTTCCAAAGGTCTGGTTTTCAGGTGATGTTTTCTACTATTTTGTAAGCTTTGGTTCACATTGTTTTATTAAAATATCTTAAAGAGTATGATTCTATATAATCCGTTTGTTTTTGCCTCTGAACATGGTTGAAATTAAGACAAGCCCTGAAACATTCTGGGATGTTTGTCTGACACCATATTTGCTTAGTCAGAAATATTATTGTTTTAGATAATTTCCGAATGTGATGTTTGCCTGTGAAGGCTTGAGATACTTGTGGTGTATCTTGGAGAGTAGGTTCAGTGGATGGATTGAAAATATTAGAGAAGTGGAGATTTTTTCCTTTTTGTCTATTGAATCTGCTTCAACATCAGGTCTTATAATTAAACCAAAATTTTCTGTTACTGCTTTGAACAGCACTAAATTTTCTTCTATTATTGCTAACGTTTATACATGTAATTCTTGTCTGCAATTATTGAAACTTGGCATTCTCCTCAAAGGAGACCTTTAATTTTATCATCATGTATATTTGATCATATCATATTTCGAGTCAAATTGAAACGACCTTAATTTAAAAGCAGCCATCACTTCAATTAAAATTGCGTCTTCTCTTCTTTTTCTAATCCATAATCAAAATTTCCCATCAATCTAATTAGTCTTGTTTAATCTCTATAAGCGTTTAATTGGATAAGAACAGCAAAAGCCACCATTATATATATATATATATATATATATATTATATTTATTTGAACAATATTTAACTATTTCTCTAACTTGCAATTTGGAACAAGAACAGATCATACTACAGATTATACGACTGTTGGTATGTTGAGTTGTTTCTATTTATACAGATAAGCATAGCTCTAGGCAAATCATAAAATGCATATTTCTTCAACCAAAAACAAAAAAGAAAAAGGTTGTTCAAAACGGTTGAGAAAGTTCCTATCCATCACTACTCACCGAAAGGAGGGACTGGGAAAAATCAACATCGCAATCATGACGAAAGGAACACCAAGAGCAGTAGAGCCACAGAGGAATAATGTGAAAGTGTAATACCCTACTCAAATGAAAATTGAACTAGATTATTACTAAAATTTATTAATTTAATTAAAAAATTAATTACTAAAAATAATGATAGAAATATTTTATGAGAGAAAATTTAGTTATCATAAAACAAAAAAAGAAAAGCAAAGCTCTTATTTCTCATCTTCCTTAGGGTTAAAAAGCATGAAAAATCAAGTTGAGAATCTAAAATCAGAGGCTACAATATAATTAATCTCCTAAAAGTAATTATATACCCTTTTTTTATTTAAGAAAAAAATATCATGTTGGTTGCTATTATTTGAAGTTATAGTTGTGAGAGAAAAATTTAGAAAAATTATGAAATCTTTCATTAATCTTCTTGATCTATTTGGGTAAATTATTGGGCTTCATTTACTTCATTTTAATAAGATTTAATGATGATTATTGAGTAGATTTTAAAAGCTGAAAGTAGAGATTTGGATTTTTTTTAAAGATTGAAAGAGAAACTTTGTTTTTGGATGAGATGTAATTATCTATAACAGTGGATTAAAATGAAATTCTGTATTAATGGATAAGTTATTGATGTAAGTATTATATACTTTTTGAAAGCTTGTTGAATCTACTTTCTAACGAAATAAATGGAAGTCAATTCTAAATTTTCTATGAAGAGTTGTCTAATTTTTACTTAGGGATGTGCAGATTACGTGGCAGCAATATTAATGATGAATTACGAAAATTGTCTTAAATTTTATACAAGGAATTATGAATTGAGACATACATGTTTAAAAGGATTATTGAGTCTACTTTCCAATGAAATAAACGGAACTGAATTTGGAGTCTCTTATGAATAAATATGTATATTTTATTAGAAGGTATACATTCCATTTGACAACAGCATATGATGTGGATTGAAAAAATTATTACAATTAATTTACAAAAAATTATGAGATGGACCATATGTTTAGAAAGCTTATTAAGTCTAGTTTCTAACGCACTATAAAGATCTTAATTTTGAGTTGGATATCTTAAGATATGGTCATTTTAGTGAAAAGATCTCAAACTATCAATATTAATTAGTTGAGTTAACCCTTGTGTAATTTAATTGTTTTAGCATAAATATCTCAAAGTGGGTTGATTAATTTCTGTTATGTTGAAATGATCTTGAATAGGTCATTAATTATTTTAAGGGAAAACTTAAATGGTGGAATTGTAAAGAGGTAAGTAGAATCTCACATATTTTGCTTCTTTTCGAACCTATGTATTTTATATTTTTCTAAATGAGTAAATGTTTTATTTCATTATTTTTTATATATGAAAATAGGAGCAAACATATGATTATTTTGTATTTTTGTTATGTAAATGATGGATCATGCTTACGAATAAAATGAGAAAATGATTTATGTTTAAGGAATAATTTTATGATAGTTACGCTTTTACATCATTGGGAAATGGGATTATTGATACTAGAACTAGTTCTACGACCCTGGCTAATATAGTAGTTAGCTTAGCTATGATCTTATAGCTTACTAATAGGTTATAGTAGTTAGAATAAAGTCTTGGCTAATGGGTTATAATAGTTAGCAATGATTATAAAGATAAAATTATCGATACGGTCAATGTCACGAGTTATAACAGTGATCATAGCTAACGATAAACGAATAATAATGATGATTTATGATGATGATGATTTTTAAAGATTGATCCATGATTTGGTTTGATTATGATATTTGAATAACAACATATTTTACAATGATTTATGAATTGATCTATTTTGATATTGATTTATGATCTACAAAATGTTTAATATAATGATGATTTTTGAAAATGTTTTGACATTATGATTTGACAAATTATATGATATGTATAAAAACGATACTTGATCTGGTTAGGTGTGTGAAGCTATACTTGCTGAGCTATAGATTGTCATTCCTCTTTTACTTTTTTTTTTTTTTTACAGATGAGTAAGTAATAAGTTTGTTTAGTTATGTCAGAAACTAGAAGATCATATTGAAAAGATTATTTGAGCATTAGAGATCTTATTGGCTAATGAGATCTTATGAAACAATTTTATATTTTTATTAGTTTGTATTTGAATATATAAAGATTTATCATCAGTTTATTAAAGAAGTTTAGAATGATTAAGAAAAAAAGCTTCATGTTACTTTGAGATTTTACTTCAAGATAATATGGTCGTATTGCATCTCAATCTCGAGATATAATATAAAGTAATATCAGAGTTTAGGTTGTGGTTTTTGGAGAATTTTTAAGAGTTAGATTATAATTTTTAAATTGTGATGAGATTTTTTTTAAAAGCCTAAGTTATGACTTTTGGAGATTTTCTAAGAGTTCAGATTATGATCTTTAAACTATGTGAGATATTTAAGAGCTTATATTATGATTTTGAAGATTTTCTAAGAACTTAGGCTATGATCTTTGGAGATTTTCTAAGAGGTTAAATTATGATAATTAGATTAATGGTGATTTTCTTATAATGTAGCTTATGATCTTTGGGTTGAAATAGATATTTTATGAGTAAGGTTATGATCCATATATTATACGAAGACTTAAGGACTTAGATGATGATATTTAGATTATGTGATGATTTTCTAAGAGCTTAAGTTTGATCTATATACTATATTCATAAGTATAAGTAAATGATTCAATGAAGTTTGGACTACTTACAATTTTATTGAATTTTGAGGAATCAATGATTCCATAAATTTTTGGAGTAATTATTTTGGTTGATAATTACATATTGCTTTGGAGGTTTTGTAATTAAATGAAAGTCTAATTACTTTAATAAAGTGTGATTTTATAAGTGGAAAAGATTTTCGATGTGACTTATAATGAAACATATTTCATGAGTTGAAAGATTATCAAAGAAAATGATTTGATCATTCGAGGTTCTATGAGTTGAGAAAAGACATTTGATTTAATGAAATTTCAAAGCTATTTGTTGAGTGCTACCTAAACCTTTAATCATGGATTAAGATTGGACTAAGGCTGAGCATTATTGGAATTAAAAGTATAAAATATTGACATTAGAATGAAATGATATTTCAAAATTTTGAAGTAATTATTTATGGATTATAATGTTTAAGAATTTGTCTTAGTGGACTTAGCCACAAATATTATAATTGTGGTAAATAGTTTAATGTATGTAAAGAAAGATATACATTTGATTTGATTCTATATTTTTATTGAAAAAATATTTAAGGTTTGATCACATGAGTTTGACATTTATATAGTTAATTTGAAGTTTAATCATTAAATTAATATTTAGGTGTACTGATTTTTTTTTAATGACTAAATTGATTAATTTGTGGTTATAGTTTCTAACTAAAGTATAATGTTAGATTCCTTCAAATTTTTATATTTATGGAAAACATTACCTATTGTGATACAAGGCTATGTACTAGTAAGGAATTAAATTTGTAGATAAAAATTAAAGTTGTGGTTATCTAAATGATTTAGTAAGGAAGTTGGTTTGAAGGAGTAATCAATTTATAGAAAAATATATATGTTTTGGTTAAAAATGATTGTTTGAAATCTTATTAGTGCAAAAAATTGTTCATTTTATGATCATGTCTTAATAATTAGTGATGATTTTGTGTATTTGGAGATGCTGAGATGTATTCGATTTTAGAGAAATTTGAAAAACTTCTGAAATAATGTGAGGGTTTTGGTTATTGTTTATAACTATATGTTCGACACGAAATCACGTATTTGGAGTTCTTATTGTTTAAGAATTTTATTTATGAGTTATAATATATAGGTTTTTATTTTGACTTGGAGATAGTAGCAAAATATTTGGTAAAAGAAAATTTTGAGACATTATGATATTTGTGAGAATTGTGGAGAATCAATTGTTATATGATAATTCGTCTATGAAATTAGAAAGAACAATATTCGAAATAGGAGATGACTTTGGAAACCAAAGATTTTTGTTTGAATTTACATTATATAAATTTATGGATATGATCTATTGCATTGATTTCATATGTATTCTAACGGTTAATTAATAGAAAATTTCATATTATCGATGAAAAAGAAAAGAAAATTAAAGTACTATATGATATCTTTTTGGTGACTAAATTATTTGTTGATATTGTTATTCAAGGTTGTTATGGCTATAAACAAATGGTGTGAAGCAGATTAAA